GCGCATTGGACTTCTAGGACAGAAGAAGGCATTTAAAGGGTGTGGGTTCAAGTCCCACCAGAGTCATCAGTTTGCATTCTAAGTAAGTGTTCAGATTAATTTGTGGTGTCCTTGAAGCTCAAAACCTGACTACAGTTACCTATGTTGTGAATTGTGAAAGACATGGCACTGTGGCTTAGTTGGTTAAAGTTCCTGTCTCCTAAACAGGAGATCTGGGTTTAATTCCCAGCGGTGCCTCATAGAAATACATCTTTTCTTCACAAAATAATTTTTGGGATTCCATCATTGTAAAAATATAATTAAATTATTTTCCTTGTAGCTCAAAACCTGACTACAGTTACCTCTGATGTAAATTGGCACAAATAAGGCGCTGTGGCTTAGTTGGTTAAAGTGCCTGTCTAGTAAACAGGAGATCCTGGGTTCAAATCCCAGCGGTGCCTTAATGAAATACATCTTTTCTTCACAAAATAATTTTTGGGATTTCATCATTGAGAAAATATAATTACATTATTTTCCTTGTAGCTCAAAACCTGACTACAGTTACCTCTGATGTAAATTGGCACAAATTAGGCGCTGTGGCTTAGTTGGTTAAAGTGCCTGTCTAGTAAACAGAGATCCTGGGTTCAAATCCCAGCGGTGCCTTAATAAAATACATCTTTTCTTCACAAAAGAATTTTTGGGATTTCATCATTGAGAAAATATAATTAAATAATTTTCCTTGTAGCTTAAAACCTGACTACAGTTAGGTGTCTCTTATTTGGGATTTTCCCATTTCTTTTCCTGCGGGCGCAGAAGGAGTGACTGAAAAACAGTGGGGCTCTGTGGCGCAATGGACAGCGCATTGGACTTCTAGGAGAGAAGAAGGCATTAAAGGTTGTGGGTTCGAGTCCCACCAGAGTCATCATTTTGCATTCTAAGTAAGTGTTGTCCGATTAATTTTTGGTTTCCTTGAAGCTCAAAACCTTACTACAATTACCTCTGTTGTGAATTGTGAAAGACATGGCACTGTGGCTTAGTAGGTTAAAGTTCCTGTCTCCTAAACAGGATATCATGGGTTTAATTCCCAGCGGTGCCTCATAGAAATACATCTTTTCTTCACAAAATAATTTTTGGGATTCCATCATTGTAAAAATATAATTAAATTATTTTCCTTGTAGCTCAAAACCTGACTACAGTTACCTCTGATGTAAATTGGCACAAATAAGGCGCTGTGGCTTAGTTGGTTAAAGTGCCTGTCTAGTAAACAGGAGATCCTGGGTTCAAATCCCAGCGGTGCCTTAATAAAACACATCTTTTCTTCACAAAAGAAATTTTGGGATTTCATCATTGAGAAAATATAATTACATTATTTTCCTTGTAGCTCAAAACCTGACAACAGTTAGGTGTCTCTTAATTGGGATTTTCCCATTTCTTGTCCTGCGGGCGCAGAAGGAGTGACTGAAAAGCAGAGGGGCTCTGTGGCGCAATGGACAGCGCATTGGACTTCTAGGTGAGAGAAGAAGGCATTCAAAAGTTGTGGGTTCGAGTCTCCCAGGGTCATCATTTCCGTATTCTAAGTAAGTGTAGTGTCGATTAATTTGTGGTTTCCTTGAAGCTCAAAACCTGACTACAATTACCTCTGTTGTGAATTGTGAAAGACAAGGCACTGTGGCTTAGTAGGTTAAAGTTCCTGTCTCCTACACAGGAGATCATGGGTTTAATTCCCAGTGGTCCCTCATAGAAATACATCTTTTCTTCACAAAATAATTTTTGGGATTCCATCTTTGTAAAAATATAAATAAATTATTTTCCATGTAGCTCAAAACCTGACTACAGTTACCTCTGATGTAAATTGAAACAAACAAGGCGCTGTGGCTTAGTTGGTTAAAGTGCCTGTCTAGTAAACAGGAGATCCTGGGTTCAAATCCCAGCGGTGCCTTAATAAAACACATCTTTTCTTCACAAAAGAATTTTTGGGATTTCATCATTGAGAAAATATAATTAATTTATTTTCCTTGTAGCTGAAAACCTGACTACAGTTAGGTGTCTCATAATAGGGATTTTTACATTTCTTGTCCTGCGGGGGCAGAAGGAGTGACAGAAAAGCAGAGGGGATCTGTGGCGCAATGGACAGTGCATTGGACTTCTAGGTGAGAGAAGAAGGCATTCAAAGGTTGTGGGTTCGAGTCCCACCAGAGTCATCATTTTCGTATTTTAAGTAAGTGTTGTGTCGTTTAGTTTGTGGTTTTCTTGAAGCTCAAAACCTGACTACAATTACCTCTGTTGTGAATTGTCATAGCAAGGCACCGTGGCTTAGTAGGTTAAAGTCCCTGTCTCATAATCATTAGATCCTGGATTCAAATCCCAGCAGTGCCTCATATAAATACATCTTTTCTTCACAAAATAATTTTTGGGATTCCATCATTGTAAAAATATAATGAAATTATTTTCCTTGTAGCTCAAAACCTGACTACAGTTACCTCTGATGTAAATTGGAACAAACAAGGCGCTGTGGCTTAATTGGTTAAAGTGCCTGTCTAGTAAACAGGAGATCCTGGGTTCAAATCCCAGCGGTGCCTTAACAAAATACATCTTTTCTTCACAAAAGAATTTTTGGGATTCCATCATTGTAAAAATATAATTAAATTATTTTCCTTGTAGCTCATAACCTGACTACAGTTAGGTGTCTCTTAATTGGGATTTTCCCATTTCTTGTCCTGCGGGCGCAGAAGGAGTGACTGAAAAGCAGAGGGGCTCTGTGGTGCAATGGACAGCGCATTGGACTTCTAGGTGAGAGAAGAAGGCATTCAAAGGTTGTGGGTTTGAGTTCCACCAGAGTCATCATTTTCGTATTCTAAGTAAGTGTTGTGTCGATTAATTTGTGGATTCCTTGTAGCTCAAAACCTGACTACAATTACCTCTGTTGTGAATTGTGAAAGACAAGGCACTGTGGCTTAGTAGGTTAAAGTTCCTGTCTCCTAAACAGGAGATCCTGGGTTTAATTCCCAGCGGTGCCTCATAGAAATACATCTTTTCTTCACAAAATAATTTTGGGAATTCCATCATTGTAAAAATATAAATAAATTATTTTCCTTGTAGCTCAAAACTGACTACAGTTACCTCTGATGAAAATTGGAACAAGCAAGGTGCTGTGGCTTAGTTGGTTAAAGTGCCTGTCTAGTAAACAGGAGATCCTGGGTTCAAATCCCAGCGGTGCCTTAATAAAACACATCTTTTCTTCACAAAAGAATTTTTAGGATTCCATCATTGTAAAAATATAATGAAATAATTTTCCTTGTAGCTCAAAACCTGACTACAGTTAGGTGTCTCTTAATTGGGATTTTCCCATTTCTTGTGCTGTGGGCGCAGAAGGAGTGACTGAAAAGCAGAGGGTCTCTGTGGTGCAATGGACAGCGCATTGGACTTGTAGGTGAGAGAAGAAGGCATTCAAAGGTTGTGGGTTCGAGTCCCACCAGAGTCATCATTTTCGTATTCTAAGTAAGTGTAGTGTCGATTAATTTGTGGTTTCCTTGAAGCTCAAAACCTGACTACAATTACCTCTGTTGTGAATTGTGAAAGACAAGGCACTGTGGCTTAGTTGGTTAAAGTGCCTGTCTAGTAAACAGGAGATCCTGGGTTTAATTCCCAGTGGTGCCTCATAGAAATACATCTTTTCTTCACAAAATTATTTTTGGGATTCCATCATTGTAAAAATAAAATTAAATTATTTTCCTTGTAGCTCAAAACATGACTACAGTTACCTCTGATGTAAATTGGAACAAACAAGGCGCTGTGGCTTAGTTGGTTAAAGTGCCTGTCTAGTAAACAGGAGATCCTGGGTTCAAATCCCAGCGGTGCCTTAATAAAACACATCTTTTCTTCAGAAAATAATTTTTGGGATTTCATCATTGAGAAAATATAATTAAATTATTTTCCTTGTAGCTCAAAACCTGACTACAGTTAGGTGTCTCTTAATTGGGATTTTCCCATTTCTTGTCCTGCGGGCGCAGAAGGACTGACTGAAGAGCAGAGGGGCTCTGTGGCGCAATGGACAGTGCATTGGACTTCTAGGTGAGAGAAGAAGGCATTCAAAGGTTGTGGGTTCGAGTCCCACCAGAGTCATCATTTTCGAATTCTAAGTAAGTGTAGTGTCGATTAAATTGTGGTTTCCTTGAAGCTCAAAACCTGACTACAATTACCTCTGTTGTGAATTGTGAAAGACAAGGCACTGTGGCTTAGTAGGTTAAATACATCTTTTCTTCACAAAATAATTTTTGGGATTCCATCATTGTTAAAATATATTTAAATTATTTTCCTTGTAGCTCAAAACCTGACTACTGTTACCTCTGATGTAAATTGGCACAAATAAGGCGCTGTGGATTAGTTGGTTAAAGTGCCTGTCTTGTAAACAGAAGATCCTGGGTTCAAATCCCAGCGGTGCTTAACAAAATACATCTTTTCTTCAAAAAATAATTATTGGGATTTCATCATTGAGAAAATATAATTACATTATTTTCCTTGTAGCTCAAAACCTGACTACTGTTACCTCTGATGTAAATTGGCACAAATTAGGCACTGTGGCTTATTTGGTTAAAGTGCCTGTCTCGTAAGCAGGAGATTCTGGGTTCAAATCCCAGCGGTGCCTTAACAAAATACATCTTTTCTTCACAAAATAATTTTTGGGATTTCATCATTGAGAAACTATAATTACATTATTTTCCTTGTAGCTCAAAACCTGACTACAGTTACCTCTGATGTAAATTGGCACAAATAAGGTGCTGTGGCTTAGTTGGTTAAAGTGCCTGTCTTGTAAACAGGAGATCCTGGGTTCAAATCCCAGCGGTGCCTTAATAAAATACATCTTTTCTTCACAAAATAACTTTTGGGATTTCATCATTGATTAAATATAATTAAATAATTTTCCTTGTAGCTTAAAACCTGACTACAGTTAGGTGTCTCATATTTGGGATTTTCCCATTTCTTTTCCTGCGGCCGCAGAAGGAGTGACTGAAAAACAGTGGGGTTCTGTGGCGCAATGGACAGCGCATTGGACTTCTTGGACAGAAGAAGGCGCATTTAAAGGTTAAGGTTTCGAGTCGCACCAGAGTCATCTGTTTGCATTCTAAGTAAGTGTTGAGTCGATTAATTTTTGGTTTCCTTGAAGCTCAAAACCTTACTACAATTACCTCAGTTGTGAATTGTGAAAGACATGGCACTGTGGCTTAGTTGGTTAAAGTGCCTGTCTTGTAAACAGGAGATCCTGAGTTCAAATCCCAGCGGTGCCTTAATAAAATACATCTTTTCTTCGCAAAATAATTTTTGGGATTTCATCATTGATTAAATATAATTTTCCTTGTAGCTTAAAACCTGACTACAGTTAGGTGTCTCTTATTTGGGATTTTCCCATTTCTTTTCCTGTGGGCGCATAAGGAGTGACTGAAAAACTGTGGGGCTCTGTGGCGCAATGAACAGCGCATTGGACTTCTAGGACAGAAGAAGGCATTTAAAGGTTGTGGGTTCGAGTCCCACCAGAGTCATCAGTTTGCATTCTAAGTAAGTGTTCAGTCGATTAATTTTTGGTTTCCTTTGAAGCTCAAAACCTTACTACAATTACCTCTGTTGTGAATTGTGAAAGACAAGGCACTGTGGCTTAGTAGGTTAAAGTTCCTGTCTCCTAAACAGGAGATCTTGGGTTTAATTCCCAGCGTTGCCTCATAGAAATAAATCTTTTCTTCACAAAATAGATTTTGGGATTTCATCATTGAGAAAATATAATTACATTATTTTCCTTGTAGCTCAAAACCTGACTACAGTGACCTCTGATGTAAATTGGCACAAATTAGGCGCTGTGGCTTAGTTGGTTAAAGTGCCAGTCTCATAAACAGGAGATCCTGGGGTCAAATCCCAGCGGTGCCTTAACAAAATACATCTTTTCTTCACAAAATAATTTTTGGGATTTCATCATTGAGAAAATATAATTACATTATTTTCCTTGTAGCTCAAAACCTGACTACAGTTACCTCTGATGTAAATTGGCACAAATAAGGTGCTGTGGCTTAGTTGGTTAAAGTGCCTGTCTTGTAAACAGGAGATCCTGGGTTCAAATCCCAGCGGTGCCTTAATAAAATACATCTTTTCTTCACAAAATAACTTTTGGGATTTCATCATTGATTAAATATAATTAAATAATTTTCTTTGTAGCTCAAAACCTGACTACAGTTACCTCTGATGTAAATTGGCACAAACAAGGCGCTGTGGCTTAGTTGGTTAAAGTGCCTGTCTAGTAAACAGGAGATCCTGGGTTCAAATCCCAGCAGTGCCTTAATAAAATACATCTTTTCTTCACAAAAGAATTTTTGGGATTTCATCATTGAGAAAATATAATTGAATTATTTTCCTTGTAGCTTAAAACCTGACTACAGTTAGGTGTCTCATATTTGGGATTTTCCCATTTCTTTTCCTGCGGGTGCAGAAGGAGTGACTGAAAAACAGTGGGTCTCTGTGGCGCAATGGACAGCGCATTGGACTTCTAGGACAGAAGAAGGCATTTAAAGGTTGAGGGTTTGAGTCCCACCAGAGTCAGTGGCATTCTAAGTAAGTGTTGAGTCGATTAATTTTCGGTTTCCTTAAAGCTCAAAACCTTACTACAATTACCTCTGTTGTGAATTGTGAAAGACATGGCACTGTGGCTTAGTAGGTTAAAGTTCCTGTCTCCTAAACAGGATATCATGGGTTTAATTCCCAGCAGTGCCTCATAGAAATACATCTTTTCTTCACAAAATAATTTTTGGGATTCCATCATTGTTAAAATATAATTAAATTATTTTCCTTGTAGCTCAAAACCTGACTACTGTTACCTCTGATGTAAATTGTCACAAATGAGGCGCTGTGGCTTAGTTGGTTAAAGTGCCTGTCTTGTAAACAGGAGATCCTGGGTTCAAATCCCAGCGGTGCCTTAACAAAATACATCTTTTCTTCACAAAATAATTTTTGGGATTTCATCATTGAGAAAATATAATTACATTATTTTCCTTGTAGCTCAAAACCTGACTACTGTTACCTCTGATGTAAATTGGCACAAATAATGCGCTGTGGCTTAGTTGGTTAAAGTGCCTGTCTCGTAAACAGGAGATCCTGGGTTCAAATCCCAGCGGTGCCTTAACAAAATACATATTTTCTTTACAAAATATTTTTTGGGATTTCATCATTGAGAAAATATAATTACATTATTTTCCTTGTAGCTCAAAACCTGACAACAGTTACCTCTGATGTAAATTGGCACAAATTAGGCGCTGTGGTTTAGTTGGTTAAAGTGCCTGTCTTGTAAACAGGAGATCCTGGGTTCAAATCCCAGCGGTGTCTTAACAAAATACATCTTTTCTTCACAAAATAATTTTTGGGATTTCATCATTGATTAAATATAATAACATTATTTTCCTTGTCGCTCAAAACCTGACTACAGTTACCTCTGATGTAAATTGGCACAAATTAGGCGCTGTGGCTTAGTTGGTTAAAGTGCCTGTCTCGTAAACAGGAGATTCTAGGTTCAAATCCCAGCGGTGCCTTAACAAAATACCTCTTTTCTTCACAAAATAATTTTTGGGATTTCATCATTGATTAAATATAATAACATTATTTTCCTTGTAGCTCAAAACCTGACTACAGTTACCTCTGATGTAAATTGGCACAATTAAGGGGCTGTGGCTTAGTTGGTTAAAGTGCCTGTCTCCTAAACAGGATATAATGGGTTTAATTCCCAGCGGTGCCTCATAGAAATACATCTTTTCTTCACAAAATAATTTTTGGGATTCCATCATTGTTAAAATATAATTAAATTATTTTCCTTGTAGCTCAAAACCTGACTACAGTGACCTCTGATGTAAATTGGCACAAATTAGGTGCTGTGGCTTAGTTGGTTAAAGTGCCAGTCTCGTAAACAGGAGATCCTGGGGTCAAATCTCAGCGGTGCCTTAAAATACATCTTTTCTTCACAAAAAAATTTTTGGGATTTCATCATTGTTAAAATATAATTAAATTATTTTCCTTGTAGCTCAAAACCTGACTACAGTTACCTCTGATGTAATTTGGAGCAAACAAGGCGCTGTGGCTTAGTTGGTTAAAGTACCTGTCTAGTAAACAGGAGATACTGGGTTCAAATCCCAGCGGTGCCTTAATAAAACACATCTTTTCTTCACAAAATAATTTTTGGGATTCCATCATTGTAAAAATAAAATTAAATTATTTTCCTTGTAGCTCAAAACCTGACTACAGTTACCTCTGATGTAAATTGGCACAAATTAGGCGCTGTGGCTTAGTTGGTTAAAGTGCCTGTCTCGTAAACAGGAGATCCTGGGTTCAAATCCCAGAGGTGCCTTAACAAAATACATCTTTTCTTCACAAAATAATTTTTGGGATTTCATCATTGAGAAAATATAATTATATTATTTTTCTTGTAGCTCAAAACCTGACTACAGTTACCTCTGATGTAATTTGGCACAAATAAGGTGCTGTGGCTTAGTTGGTTAAAGTGCCTGTCTTGTAAACAGGAGATCCTGGGTTCAAATCCCATCGGTGCCTTAATAAAATACATCTTTTCTTCGCAAAATAATTTTTGGGATTTCATCATTGATTAAATATAATCAATTTTTTTTCCTTTTAAGCTCAAAACCTTACTACAATTACCTCTGTTGTGAATTGTGAAAGACAAGGCACTGTGGCTTAGTAGGTTAAAGTTCCTGTCTCCTAAACAGGAGATCTTGGATTTAATTCCCAGCGTTGCCTCATAGAAATACATCTTTTCTTCACAAAATAGATTTTGGGATTTCATCATTGAGAAAATATAATTACATTATTTTCCTTGTAGCTCAAAACTTGATTACTGTTACCTCTGATGTAACTTGGCACAAATAAGGCGCTGTGGCTTAGTTGGTTAAAGTGCCTGTCTCGTAAACAGGAGGTCCTGGTTTCAAATCCCTGCGGTGCCTTAACAAAATACCTCTTTTCTTCACAAAATAATTTTTGGGATTTCATCATTGATTAAATATAATCAATTTTTTTTCCTTGAAGCTCAAAACCTTACTACAATTACCTCTGTTGTGAATTGTGAAAGACAAGGCACTGTGGCTTAGTAGGTTAAAGTTCCTGTCTCCTAAACAGGAGATCTTGGGTTTAATTCCCAGCGGTGCCTCATAGAAATACATCTTTTCTTCACAAAATAATTTTTGGGATTTCATCATTGAGAAAATATAATTACATTATTTTCCTTGTAGCTCAAAACCTGACTACAGTGACCTCTGATGTAAATTGGCACAAATTAGGCGCTGTGGCTTATTTGGTTAAAGTGCCAGTCTCATAAACAGGAGATCATGGGTTCAAATCCCAGCGGTGCCTTAACAAAATACCTCTTTTCTTCACAAAATAATTTTTGGGATTTCATCATTGATTAAATATAATAACATTATTTTCCTTGTAGCTCAAAACCTGACTACAGTTACCTCTGATGTAAATTGGCACTAATAAGGCGCTGTGGCTTAGTTGGCTAAAGTGCCTGTCTCGTAAACAGGAGATCCTGGGTTCAAATCCCAGCGGTGCCTTAACAAAATACATCTTTTCTTCACAAAATAATTTTTGGGATTTCATCATTGATTAAATATAATTACATTATTTTCCTTGTAGCTCAAAACCTGACTACAGTTACCTCTGATGTAAATTGACACAAATTAGGCGCTGTGGCTTAGTTGGTTAAAGTGCCTGTCTCGTAAACAAGAGATCCTGGTTCAAATCCCAGCGGTGCCTTAATAAAATACATCTTTTCTTCACAAAATAACTTTTGGGATTTCATAATTGATTAAATATAATTAAATAATTTTCCTTGTAGCTCAAAACCTGACTACAGTTACCTCTGATGTAAATTGGCACAAATTAGGCGCTGTGGCTTAGTTGGTTAAAGTGCCTGTCTCGTAAACAGTAGATCCTGGGTTCAAATCCCAGCGGTGCCTTAATAAAATACATCTTTTCTTCACAAAATAATTTTTGGGATTCCATCATTGTTAAAATATAATTAAATTATTTTCCTTGTAGCTCAAAACCTGACTACTGTTACTTCTGATG